TAATAATTCTATTAAAAAACATATGGACAGTAAGTTTCCATTGTTTTTAGATGGAACACCTACTTGCATCCATCCATCATTAAGATGGATGCTTTACACTTTCTATACCGCATATGTAGAAATGCGGTCCAGCCAAAACAATTTTTCTTATATATATATATATATATAGGAAAATATCATGTCATACCACAGGCTGACAGCTACAGTATCTGCCAACGACCCAGATTGCATCTGGGTCCAATCCAATGGTCATGACCTCAATTCGTATTTGAATTTTCATTTTTTTTTTAAAAAATCCAAATAACTTGAAATTTAAGAGTCAATTCTTAAAAAATAATAGAATCTAATAAAAATATTAAAAAAATAATTTGTAAAATATAATTTGACCAAAATACCCCCAAAGCTTTAAGAGGGTATTTTGATCAATTTATATTTTACGAATTATTTTTTATTAGATGCGCCTTGATGAGTAAAATGTACGCCTAAATTTTCAAGTGATTTGGATTTGTACAAAAAAATAAAAATTCAAATACGAAATAAAGTCGTGACCTTCAAATCGACCCAGATTCAATCTGGGCCATTGATTGATACTGTAGCAGTCAGCCCGTGGGCTGACAACATCCATTCATTATATATATATATATATATATATATATATAAACTTGGGTGAGCCCAGTAGCTCATTGAATAGCATAAGCCCAACGGCTCAGATTGAATCTAAGCCGATCTGACGAACACGGATGTTGGCAGTGTTTAAATTTTAATTGTTTTTCTACAAATCCAAATCACTTGAAATTTTAAGCGTATGTTCTTCTCATCAAGCCACACCTAATTAAAAATATAAAAAAAATAAGTCAAGAAAAAAAAATTGACTAAAATAACCCAAAAACTTTTTATGGGTATTTTGGTCAATTTATTTCATGTAAACTATTTTTTTTATATTTTTGGAAGATTCACCTATTTTTGATATACACACGCTCCAAATTTCAAGTGATTTAGATTTGTAGAAAAAAAATTAAAATTTAAACACTACCGGATATCCGCGATCGTCAGAGCGGCCCAGATTGAATCTGGGCCGTTGGGTTCATTTTTTCTTATGTGCTAGTGAGCTCACCCTAGCATATTCCATATATATATATATATATATATATATATATCGAGAGATCGAGAACTGAATATATTAACAAAAAAATTTATTTAGATATGGATAATGTCCTACAAATTCAGTACCTCAAGTTGTGAAAGCATATCGATAGTCGAAGGCATATGACCACTATTTGCAGAGTACACATCGATAAGGCACTCCTCTGAGAAACCAGGGAATCTAGCAAGGAGTACCTCAAGCCATTGAGAATCCCTCTCAAACCCCTGGCTTTTATCCATCCCACCCTTCATCCTGAAACTCTCATATTCATGTCCAGGTGGCAGGAAATCATCAGGATCAAAGAGTTCATCTTCTTCAGGGATGTGAAAATCTAGAGAGATATCATCAGGGAGCTGATATTGTGATGCCCCATCCACAGGTTTCATTGTTCCAGTGATAATTTTCTCGGTCAGAATCCCAAAATTTTCTGTACTTTTCTCTGAAATTGTTTTATTGTGAGTGAGTTGAGGCTGTCGTTGGGAGAGGGGGATATACGCTGTTGCATAAGGGTTCAATTGAGACTTGCTTGCTTCCATTGCATCTGTTCTTTGCAAGGAAACACGATGGTCATTGGGGGGGGAGAGAGAGAGAGAGAGAGAGAGAGAGTAATTGGTGATATAGAAAAGAAAAAATAATAGAATACAAAAGATGAGCATCTTACAACCACTTCATGTGGAGAGAGAGAGAGAGAGAGAGAGAGAGAGT